TGTGGCGACGGAGCGGGGATCTCTGGGAAGGCGTGCAGACAAGGCGCGCTGACCCATAATGCATTCATTCATGACATGTGATCGCATTAGCCATCAGCAGCCAGCCAGCCACACTGTGTAATGGTGGAGCTATAAATCGCGGCCATCTTAGAATTCTCCATTAGCCTCCGGTCATTCAAGAGAGACAGACCTCTGTGTATTAGGGACAGAGTTAGGGCCACAGAGACTTTAGGGCCACAGAATCGTTACTTAGGGACACAGAATCGTTACTTAGGGACACAGAATCGTTACTCAGGGACACAGAATTGTTACTCAGGGACAGAGAATTGTTACTCAGGGACACAGAATCGTTACTCAGGGACAGACACAGAATTGTTACTCAGGGACACAGAATTGTTACTGAGGGACACAGAATCGTTACTCAGGGACACAGAATTGTTACTCAGGGACACAGAATCGTTACTCAGGGACACAGAATTGTTACTCAGGGACACAGAATTGTTACTCAGGGACAGACACAGAATTGTTACTCAGGGACACACAGAATTGTTACTCAGGGACAGACACAGAATTGTTACTCAGGGACACAGAATTGTTACTCAGGGACACAGAATTGTTACTGAGGGACACAGAATCGTTACTCAGGGACACAGAATCGTTACTCAGGGACACAGAATTGTTACTCAGGGACACAGAATCGTTACTCAGGGACACAGAATTGTTACTCAGGGACACAGAATTGTTACTGAGGGACACAGAATCGTTACTCAGGGACACAGAATTGTTACTCAGGGACACAGAATCGTTACTCAGGGACACAGAATTGTTACTGAGGGACACAGAATTGTTACTCAGGGACACAGAATTGTTACTGAGGGACACAGAATCGTTACTCAGGGACACAGAATTGTTACTCAGGGACACAGAATCGTTACTCAGGGACACAGAATCGTTACTCAGGGACACAGAATTGTTACTCAGGGACACAGAATCGTTACTCAGGGACACAGAATCGTTGAATTAAAGAGTATGTCAGACAACACGCAGAGGAGTGGCAGAGGAGGCAATGTTTCAGGAGCGATCAGACGTGGCAGCAGAGGAAGGGGTCGAGGCAGCACTAGTCGCAGCCAGAGGCCAGTGCTCCCGGTGTCATCCAGCGGTCGTGTCTCCACCGACAACCCTGCCATCATCGATTGGTTGGCTCGGTCGTCGTCTTCCTCTTCCCAGGTCACCTCTGACACCTACAGCCAACGGTCGGTGGGTACGTCAGACACAACCGTTAGTTGGCATGGCCCGGGACCAAGCCCACTGAAATCACGTGTCCTCTACCTGCCCCTGTCCTTTGGTGTTCCCTCACCAAGCGAAGTATCGCATGCTGTGGGCTCAGCCCCACTGTACAGTGAGGAAGAGCTAACAGAGGGCGGTCAGGAACGGGGGGAGACATCCGCCTCTTCAGCAGCCAGACGAAGAAGTACTGGCAAGGAGAGTGGCTCGGTAGCCGGTCTAGAGACAGGTCTGTCTCCTGACCCACACGCAGCCGAGGGGGCTAGTAGTGAGACGGAGACCCTAATTGATGATGATGAGGCTGATCGCACTTGGCAGCCTCGTCGTCATCAGGCTATTGCTTCCGCATCATCAGGAGAAGAGGGTGCCAGCTTGCCAGCGAGCAAAACAGTCGGTGGGTTGCCCAGGAGGCAGCAGGGTCGCAGCAGTGTCAGTGGAGGCAAACGGCCACGGAGTAGAGCACCAGCTCCACTGCAGCCTACCACCACGGCCAGTAGTGGTGCCGGTGTGCACGGAGGAAGTAGCAGTCAGCCAGTGAGGAGTAGTGGGGGCAAAGTTTCCTACTCGGCGGTGTGGCAATTTTTCGTCAAGCCGCCCGAGGAAGTAAACGTAGCCGTATGTCGACTATGTGGCCAGAAAGTCAAGCATGGCCAGGGGGCCCATGTTGGGACTACAGCGTTGCATCAGCATATGCAGCGTCGCCATTCGGTGGCCTGGGAAAACCGTGATAAAGATACGGCGGTTCTGCCTGCCCCAGCCCCCGCTCCATTACCCGCTCCGTTACTTGCTCCGTCACCCGATGTCAATCGCCCTCTATCAGCCAGTCAAGGCTCCAACACCTCTGCTGAGGGGAGTTGTCGCTCGTTGGCATCTTCCGCTCGTTCAGATGCTCCTTCTCCTGCTACTCCTCTTCACGGATTCCGTCAGCAGTCTTTCTTGGAATCCGTTTCCAAGAGACAACAGTTTGCGAGCACGCACCCGACGGTGCAGAAGCTGAACGTCCTCCTGTCCAAGTTGCTGGTGCTGCAGTCCCTCCCTTTCCAAGTGGTGGACTCAGCACCTTTCCGAGAAATGATGGCTTGTGCCGAGCCGCGGTGGAGAGTGCCAAGCCGGCATTTCTTCGCCAAAAAGGCAGTGCCAGCCCTGCATTCACATGTAGAAGAGATGGTGGGCCAGTCTTTGAGCATGTCGGTCTCTGCCAAAGTGCACGGCAGCGCCGACGTGTGTAGCTGTAACTACGGTCAGGGACAGTACATGTCATTTACGGCCCACTGGGTGAACGTGGTGCCGTCACAGCCGCACCAGCAACTTGGACAGGTCACGCCACTTTTGCCTCCACGTTTGCACGTCCTTGGTCCAGCAAAGATGTCCGCCTCTACCACCTCTTCTTCCGCCGTGTCCTCAGCCGCCACCCCCGTGCCAAGTCCCATTACCCGACCGGCATATCACATGTGCAGGGCGCAACGGTGTCACGCTGTGCTGCACCTGGTATGCCTTGGCGAACGTAGTCACACAGGGGAGGAACTTCTGAGTGTATTGAACAGAGAAATCGACAGATGGCTGTCTCCGCGCAAACTGAAAATCGGAACCATGTTGACCGACAACGGAAAGAACATGGTGTCTGCTCTGCGTCAAGGAAGGTTGTGCCATGCGCCATGCATGGCTCACGTGTTCAATCTGGTTGTCAAGCGGTTCCTAAAATCCACCATCCCACTGCAAGACATCCTTAAAATGTCACGTAAACTTTGCATGCATTTCAGCCATTCCTACACCGCAAAGCACACCCTCCTTGAGCTGCAGCGGCAGAACGGAATTCCACAGCATCGCCTGATCTGCGACGTTGCAACAAGGTGGAATTCAACCCTACATATGTTAGACCGCCTTTACGAACAGCGAAAGGCCATCACCGATTTCCTGATGTTACAAGTGGATAAAGGTACTCCCCTGTGTAACTTAGATGTCAGCCATTGGCAGCTCATGCGTGACACCTGCCGCTTGCTCAGGCCCTTTGAGGAGGCCACGCTATTCGTGAGTCGGCAGGACTATGGGATGAACGACGTCATTCCTCTGTTGCACGTCCTGGAACAAATGCTGTTAACAATGGCTGGTCAGGGTGCGGTAGACGTGGCGCACAGATCTCAACGCCACATGACCCCTGTGGGGGCAGGACAGGAAGAAGAGGAGGAGGTAGAGAGGAGGACATTGGTGCTCAGGAATTATTGAGTGAAATGGGTGGTTTTTCCACTCAGCGGACAGGAGTGGAGGAGCAGGAGCATCTGGTAGAGGAGGAGGAGGAGACAGAGGACCCAGACGCACCGTGGCAGTATGCTGTGGAGATGGAGGCAGGGAGTCCCTCGCATTCCTTGGCACAAATGGCCCATAGCATGCTCGGTTGCTTGCGTAGCGACAACAGCCCGAATAATAACCATCAGACAGAGGGATGACTTTTGGCTGTCCACCTTGTTGGACCCTCGCTACCGTTCAAAAATGGTGGCCTTTTTCACACCTGCTGAGAGGGAGGCCAAAATAACGTACTATAAAAACCACCTATGTAGTCAGTTGGTCTCTGCCTTTCTGCGCCAACGTCCATCCTCAGACACTGTGGGCCCTGTGCACTCGCGTTCCGCTGCCATGGCAGCAGGGGAGGGGTGGGGTGGTAGGAGCAGTGGCAGCTCCACCAGCAGCGGCTGCCTCAGTCTGCAGTCGATGATGAGTAGCTTTCTTCACCAGCGCAGTGAGGAAACTACTAACCAGCCGCAGCAGCAGCAGCATCAGGTGGACCTGGAGCAGGACCTCAAACAACAGGCTTGGGCCTACTTGGACAGCAACCTGCCAACCGAGGTAGACAATCCCCTTGACTACTGGGCAACGAAACTTGACCTTTGGCCCCAACTAGCTGAATTTGCCCTTGAAAGGCTGTCATGCCCGGCCAGTAGCGTGGCATCGGAGCGCGTGTTTAGTGCGGCAGGAGGTATCGTAACTCCGCGGAGTACACGACTGTCCACCCAAAGTGTGGAGAGACTCACGTTTGTGAAAATGAATCAGGCGTGGATTAGTCTGGATTTCAAACCACCAGTTCCTGACACAACTGACTAAATCCGCCATGAATCATGCCCCAAACATGTTATTATTTTTTTAACATAGGCCTCTGTATGGCCTTCAATTTAGGCTGCTTACGCTTCGCCACTCTGCCATGGGCCCCTGTACCGCCTCCTCTTGCTGCTGCCAGGTCCAGAGTGTGTCATGGGTCCCTGTACGGCCTCCCATTGCTGCTGTCTCCATCGCCACACTCTGCAATGTGCCACTTTCAGGTCTCCTCACACTGCTGGTGGGTTCCATTTTGTCATAGGGTGCTGGTAGATTACGGGCCTCCCATTGCTGCTGCAGGCCCGTAATCTGCCCCATGGGCCCCCGTACCGACTCCTCATGCTGCTGCCAGGCCCGTAATCTGTCATGGGCCCCTGTACCGCCTCCTCATGCTGCTGCCAGGTCCAGAGTGTGTCATGGGTCCCTGTACGGCCTCCCATTGCTGCTGTCTCCATCGCCACACTCTGCCATTTGCCACTTTCAGGTCTCCTCACACTGCTGGTGGGTTCCATTTTGTCATAGGGTGCTGGCAGATTACGGGCCTCCCATTGCTGCTGCCAGGCCCGTAATCTGCCATGGGCCCCCGTACCGACTCCTCATGCTGCTGCCAGGCCTCCCCGTAATCTGTCATGGGCCCCTGTACCGCCTCCTCATGCTGCTGCCAGGTCCAGAGTGTGTCATGGGTCCCTGTACGGCCTCCCATTGCTGCTGTCTCCATCGCCACACTCTGCCATGTGCCACTTTCAGGTCTCCTCACACTGCTGGTGGGTTCCATTTTGTCATAGGGTGCTGTATGGCCTCCCATTGCTGCTGCCAGGCCCGTAATCTGCCATGGGCCCCCGTACCGACTCCTCATGCTGCTGCCAGGCCCGTAATCTGTCATGGGCCCCTGTACCGCCTCCTCATGCTGCTGCCAGGTCCAGAGTGTGTCATGGGTCCCTGTACGGCCTCCCATTGCTGCTGTCTCCATCGCCACACTCTGCCATGTGCCACTTTCAGGTCTCCTCACACTGCTGGTGGGTTCCATTTTTTCATAGGGTGCTGTATGGCCTCCCATTGCTGCTGCCTCCACCGCCACACTGTGGCTCCACACTCTGGTTTTGGCCCCGTGACTGCCCAAATGAGTGAAGTGTGCGGTGATTCTAAGATCGACGGCACTCATCTGCATGTCATACTGACTGACAGTATTATTTCTCTTCCCCAGCAGACTCCAAGGGCATTTAAATTAAAGTACAGTGTTCTGCACTAATATAAAGGCTCTCTGAAGCCTATAAACACCCTTTTTATAAGTTAAATTCGCAGCGAATATATTCGACTCGAATCGAATTTATTCTGCGAATTCGCCGAATCAGCCGAATCGAATTTTTGAATAATTCGCTCATCTCTAATAAATCCCATTTCAGTCTTTGCAGATGACACCAAGCTGTGCAGTGGAATAACGTCCTTACAGGATGCCTCCAATTTACAAGCCGACCTCAATGCACTGTTTAATTGGGCAACTATGTGGTAAATGAGGTTTAATGTTGATAAATGTAAGGTTATGCACTTGTGGGCTAAGAATATGCATGCTACATACATACTGGGGGGGGGGGGATACAACTGGGGGAATCAATGGTGGAGAAGGATCTGGGAGTTCTAGTAGATCACAAGCTTAATAATGGCATCCAATGCCAAGCTGCAGTTTCTAAAAAGAGCGAAATCCTCTTGTATTAAAAGAGGTATAGACACCAGAGAGAGAGATATCATATTACCCCGGTACAAATCATTAGTAAAACCTCATCTGGAATATGCAGTTCAGTTTTGGGCACCCATTCACAAAAAAGAACATTGGGGAACTGGAGAAAGTACAGAGAAGGGCAACCAAACTGATAAGAGGCATGGAGGAGCTCAGCTATCAGGAAAAGATTAGAAGAACTGAATTTATTCTCTTGAGAAGAAGAGATTAAGGGGAGATATGATCAACATGTTTAACCACTTCCCGACCGGCCGTTGCATATAAACGGCCAGACGGTGGCACTGCAGGGTCGGGTGGCCTCCCCACACCCTGCTTGTGCACGCTCCCTGGGAGCACGCAGCAACGCGATCCGGTGCCCGATGTGTCCTCCCGGACACAGTGAAACACCGATTGTCGGACAGGACCTTTGTATGAGGTCCCGCTCATGTGATCACTGATTGGCCAATCAGTGATCACATGCAAAGTAGTAAGCAAGATGTCACTGTGTGACATCATTGCTTACTACGTGTGAAATCTGTGAATGATCACAGAGGTCACATGGTACAAGGCTATTCCCAACAGCCTTGTACCATGTGACAAGCTGTGACCAATCACAGCTCACTCAGTACTTCTCAATGAGTGCAAGAATGCAGACAGAGAGAAAGAGAAATGATTGCTTTTACATCCTATATGGGTGTAAAAGCAATCAGTGTAAAAAAAAAAAAATCTTCATCACCCCTCACAAGTAGTACAGTGTCACCATGGTGACACTGTACTGCTGGGGTGACAGTATGTGAAAAAAAAATAATAATAATAATAATAATATAAAAAAAATAAAATTAAAATTAAAAAAAAAAATGTTTAACAATTATAATTTTTGGTTATAAACTAATCTGGATTTTTTTTTTTTTTTACTAAAAAGATAACGGAATAAATTTTGGCCAAGATTTATGATGAAATATTATTTATCTGCAAACTTTTATAAAAAAAAAAAAAACACTTTTTTTCAAAATTTTTGGACTTTTTCATTTACATAGCAAAAAAAATAAAAATCCCAGCGGTGAATAAATACCACCAAAATAAATATTTATCTGTCTCAAAAAAATGGTAAAAAAATTTTATTTGGGTACAGTTTTGCATGACCGCGCAATTGTCATTCAAAGTGCGATGGCGCTGAAAATTGCCCTGGTCAGGAAGGGGTAAAAGTGTCCGGTCTGGAAGTGGTTAAATACATCAGTGGTTCATATAGTGAACTTGGTGTAGAGCTATTAACCTGAGGTCATCACAGAGGACAAGGGGGCACTCTTTACATCTGGAGGAAAAGAAATGTAATCTCTAAACACGGAAAGGTTTCTTCACAGTGAGAGCTGTGAAAATGTGGAATAGACTCCCTCAAGAGTTGGTTCTTGCCAGCTCAGTGGAGTGCTTTAAAAAAGGCCTGGATTATTTCTTAGATACACAGAATATAACTGGATACTAACATTTATACGTAAAGTTGATCCAGGGAATATCCAATTGCCTCTTGGGGGATCGGGAAGTAATTTTTTCCCCTGTAAGAGCAAATTGGATCATGCTTTGCTGGGTTTTTTGCCTTTCTCTGGATCAACTGTGGGTGTAGGATTATAACTTTTTTTTTTTTATGGTTGAATTGGATGGACATTTGTCTTTTTTCAACCAGACTAACTATGTAACTATGTAATAAAAGGAACCCTAATAGGTAACATTTTGAAGTGGTATATTAATTTAGAAAGTAACATTATTTTTAATTGAGGTAATCTTACCTATCCAAGAAAGGCATAGAGTCTTCCATTTCAACAGGTAGTTGCTAATTTCTCTGAACAGTGGGATATCGTTAGAACAATAAACTTGGGAAACCTGAAGCTTCTGGTAAGTTCATTGATATCTTATTTTGCCTGATTTCCAATAATAGGTAAAAGAAGATTGCAAGGTCAAAAGAGTACATTGAGATATGTTATTGGGTAAGTCTTCAGTTTTTGTAAGATTTAGCTTATAGCCAGATAAAACTAGAGTGTATGCTCCTTGTGCAAGTTAAGCAAATAAAGTATTGGGTTCATTATGGTTAATATAATATCCATGAAAAGAGATAATTAAAATTGGTGATTGTTTAGTTTAATCTTTACAATATCAGGTGAAAATCTAGTTTTGGAGGCTAGAGGCTCAATACATGCTACAAATAGGAGCTGTGACAGGGGCATCCCGGTCTACTACCATTCTAAATCAAGAATACAGGTGAGATGGTATAAGGAAGCGTAATAGAAGCAGTGTACAGTATAAATGTTGAATGATAGTCAGGAAAGGATCCTGAAGTCCTATATATAGAAGGATGGCTAACATAAAAAGCCAACTGAGGCAACCGAATGCCTTTTCAGTGTCAAGGCTCAAGAATACTTCTCTTCTTTGGTCCAAATTACAATGTCAATCAAATCAATGGTATGTCTGGTATTGTTGGAAAAATCCAACTTGATCAAAATGTATCAATTCATGCAGGAGTATACCTAATCATATATCAGGAATGTTAGTAAATATTTTAGGTCTGAATTTAAGAGAGCTGCACAGTAGTTGTTTGGTTAGTGCATAAAGCATTATATTGTAAAGTGCTGCGCAAACTATTGGCGTTATATAAATCCTGTATAATAATAAAGCCTGATCCTTCCCAGGTTTTTAGGCAAGACAATAAGTGAGTGGAACATGGAAGCTGAGATAGGTTGGGTCATAATAAAACCACTAAATAAGCTTTGAAGATATGAGACAAAAATATCTTTAAATGTTTTATAATATAGACATGTAATTCCATCCTTCCCGGAGGGAAGATGGTTTATCACGTTCTATTTCATCCATGGTAACAGATGTGTTCAGTTAGTCCAGATCAGGAAATCCTGGACGTTTGCATTGGGAGGGATATTCTTGAATATAGTGTGTGAAAGTAGGATCCCTAGTGTATGAGGGATCCTCTAGATTGTATAGTTGAGTTTAATATTCCTGAAAAATAGCAACAATCTTGGCAAGGTGAAAATATTCAATGCCTTGATAACCCTTATTATTATTATTATTATTATCATTAATAGATCAATTTAGATACATTTTTAGCTTTAGGTTTACATGCTTTCATTGTGAGCCCCTTTTGTAGATTTTTTTTCAGGTAATCAGCATTTTTTTCCTCCACTGTCAAATTAAGCTGCTGAATTTGTACTCTAATATGTGTTATGCAGCAAAGATTTGAGAGGGAGTACCTCTGTGATGCATTAGTTTCCATAGGTTTAAGTTGGGCAGTGAGTTGCAGTGATGTGAGTTCTCTGCAACTGAGTACCTTTTTAAAGTTTATAAGATAGGACAATCCAGTGACCTCTTATTAGTTTTGTGGACTTCCAACAGAGTACTATAATTAGAGATGAGCGAATCGAACATGACGAAGTGGAATTCGTTCCGAAGATTTGGAAAAATTCGATTCGCAACGAATCCGAAGACTAGCAAACTTCGGATGCACGAATCAAATTTTCCCAAAAATGGCGGCGACATGTGTGGCGACAGAGAAAATGGACAGAGAAGATGGGGCAGGGATCTCTGGGAAGGCGCGCAGACAAGGCGCGCTGACCCATAATGCATTCATGACATGTGATCGCATTAGCCAATCAGCAGCCAGCCAGCACTGTGTAATGGTGGAGCTATAAATCGCGGCCATCTTAGAATTCTCCATTAGCCTACGGTCATTCAAGAGAGACAGACCTCTGTGTATTAAGGGACAGAGTTAGGGCCACAGAGACTTTAGGGCCACAGAATCGTTACTCAGGGACACAGAATCGTTACTCAGGGACACAGAATCGTTACTTAGGGCCACAGCTATCAAAGAATCGAAAATTTAAAGTGACATACACCCTTTTTTTTTTTGGTGGCTGTCGTGCACAGTTGGTGCTGCAGTTTGCCGATTGTGCAAAAAAACTGACTTTCTGCTTCACAACCACTATTGTACGTTCAAAGAGTTAAATCCATTTACACGCCGGCTGGCGGTAATATTTTTTTGGGTGATTAGTGCATTCCAGTGACAGAAACGTACAGTTTGCAGCCAACGGCAAGCTGCAATTGACCGATTGTGTACAATAAACTGACTTTCTGCTTCACAACCACTATTGTACGTTCAAAGAGTTAGATCCATTTACACGCCGGGTGGCGGTAATATTTTTTGGGTGATTAGTGCATTCCAGTGACATAAACGTACAGTTTCCAGCCAACGGCAAGCTGCAATTGACCGATTGTGCTAAATAAACTGACTTTCTGCTTCACAACCACTATTGTACGTTCAAAGAGTTAAATCCATTTACACGCCGGCTGGCGGTAATATTTTTTGGCCCCCTGTACCGGCTCCTCATGAACGTGGTTCAGCGGGTTTGCATCACTTAACGGCAAATCGTTGACAAACGCTGGGACGTGCAGTGTTGTGCGCATTAAGCCAGACACCAAAGGGCAGCACAGACCTGTTATTACTCGCTCAAGCATGGCTGAACAAAACCAGTCTCTACCACAA